TAGTGCCAAGAAAAGAGTGAAAAGTACTTTGAGTCAAAGTTAAAAGATGGGCTCTGGAGATGGCATTTCTAATTCCAGTTGCATTTTTCCTTTTACCCGTGTGTTGAGCAACATCCTCTGAATTTGAGTTTAGTATCCCCTAGAAAAACTTTTGCCTTGATGTTCTTTTCAGAACGACTACTCACTTAGTGAATAAAGTTTTATTTGTTATTTACAGCGAGTTAGTGTAAAATAGTGACGTTTTTTTGTGGAAGTAAAATTTTTGCCCTGAGTCTAAAATCTAATCCTGAGGAAACTCACTAGTACTAGACCCGTTGTGCGGCCTCCCGGCAGATGTCGAACCTGCATTTCCATTCGGATCGTCGTCTCGATCCACGTCGTCATCCGAAGCGTCACTCTTTCGACATACACTCACGTCTAAAATATATTCTACTGTGACAGCGCCCACTTCAGTCATACGTATCCTAGACACATTAGGCCCTTCAGACATTAACTGTGCCAGACAAACTTGAACGAACTGTCATCTTCATCGTCCTCTTCTTCTTCCTCCTCCTGTTTCACGTTGTTGTTGTTAAGACTCGTCTGTTGCCCGCTAATCTGCTGCTGAAGCTAAAACTCAGAGAAACAGCTCAAACCTAACTAGACATCATTAGCAAAAGGAAAAAGACTTTTGTCTTACTTTTTTTGCTTCTTATTAGAATTTTATGTTACCTGTTGTTGTAATAAAGGCGCTGCGAAATTCTGGAGAAGAGCGGCGTTGAATGGAAAAGGGCCCGGCAACAATGTGAAGTCACCGCGACGGGCGCTAGCAGTTGGCATAAGTGGCAAAAGTTGATGCACTTGAGGAAATGAGTCGAACCGCAGCTGAGTGAGATTCAACAAAGCCTGAGTTTGTGAGACGCGATCCATCTGAAAGCAACAATATTGCGCACTTACAAATAAAGTAAAGTCTATGGAGATGTTGCAACAAACAAATAATGTCGATTTTTTGAAGTCCAATCAATGGCTAATTTGAAGTCATCGTTTAAAAATGGCTTTGACAAAATTATAAAATTTTCCTCTTATGGCAATCTAGAAGAAAGTTGCTCTAATTTGACTAAAACAATTCAGAAAATCTATGGTTTCAAAAGTTCTACACTAGAGCCAAGAAAAGGCTTTTCGTCGATACTTTTATAAAATGCCCCGACTCCCTTCTCAAAGGAATCTGAACGGTCATACTTCCGCCAATACTTGTTTCTTATATGTTAGAAATGATTTAACGTGCTGATAGGACTAGGAATAATCGTCGCAGATCTTAGTATTAGCATTAAAACAACATATAATTTCGTTACTTAGGAGATCCACACTTGCTAGTGATAATTCTCAACGAGGAAGATTGTCTCAAAGTTTGCTACAAAGTATCTCTTCGCTAAAGAACTAATAGGCATTTATTGCTCCGACATTAAGTTTATTCATGTTAAGATGTTTTAAGGCGCTTTTGACCATATATAATCACCCGACTACCGTTATGTAAAATTTAAGTTGACACTTTGCTCACTTGAAATTTATCGCTAGACCCAATGAAGGAAGTGAACCCACTTCCGCTAATTGATCCCCTATGGTTGTAGCTCTTGTTGTTGGCACATTAGGCGCCGTTGTACCCAACTTCGATCCAAATAGGGGTTGCGATGAATCGGTTGAGAAACGAGATGAACTTGAACCTGAGAGCGGCATCTCGCGAGGTATTTGCCCTAAATAGGGATCCTCTCGTTTTTCATTGTGAAGTAATTCAAAAACTGGGTTTTAGTTGCAAAAAAACCGTTTGCGTACTAGTTGCGAACACCGGAACATACGGAAATCTGAATGTCCTCAAATTAGAAATGGAGAGTTACGTTTAGAAACATCAACGCAATCATTTAAAATCGAACAGCAATGTTGAAAAAAGAAGTCTAACGTTAAATATATTTTTAGCAAGGGTGTCTCCAAATTTGATTTGCCGTCTCACTGGTTTAAAGATTCGTCAACCTCAGTAATGAATATATTCTAGCTCGCTATTAGTTTCACATGAGATAAATATGTTATGGCAATTTATATCGAAACGCTGAGTTCAAAATTTAAATTATACTTTTTGCAGTCAGTGGTTAAGGATCCTTCAGAAAAAGACAAGAAGGAAATATATGAGCATTTTTCCTCACCGATAGATGTCCGCAGAATAGCCGATGCTACTTCAGCACTGTCCTCTCGACGTTCTTCTCCTTCGTGTGAGGACCAGTCCATAGACGTTGCCCCTTAACAATTGGAATTGGCAGTAATTGGTCAATAATTCTCAGCACAAGGCTTCTTACTTTAGATGGGTGGTAGAGGAAATTCACTAAGCAATA